TATGTAGAGATATTTTAACAAGTCACAGTGAGATGCGTAATATTAGCCGTTGGTTAATAGCTTAACCTATAGGTAGTACAAGCATTTTGTGTTTAGGAATATAAAGGTAATCAGTATTACAGAAATGTCGACATAGGTATTATCTTCGGTTTAATTTACAAAGTCGGTTAACGTTTATGCCGGTATACCGTCCGTATGAGTTGATATCCAGTCGCATCTGTATTAGTAGGCTAACTGAACGAACAAAATTACAACCATGAGGTAGAAGAATTCCAACAAGTGTTCCAGTTAGTTTGTTAAGTTTGATGCGGTTTGTTTAGTTGTGGTGATACTTTCCCAACTTCATGATTACTTAACTGTGTTAGAATTTAGCAATGCAACTGATGCATACGAATGATTATCAAAAATTCTTTTACGTGAAAATAGTGATGATTGTGTGCATTTTGGATAGATAGCTAAAAGTAACTCATTAAACATGCGCGTATTCGTGAGAGACGTGCTCTAGACTCACTGTTCTGATTTGCAAAAGACTAATTGTTTATATTCATACCTACCGGTCGATGGTGCATACCAGTTGGAAGTCTGCAGTTTAGTATAAGGCGGAATACGAGTTAATTAAGATATAGTGATTATAAGTTGTTGAAATCAACTAAGCTTATGTGCAACATTTATAGGTGATATGGTGCTGCAAGATGACTTCGGTTAAATAAGTTTTTACAAGATGATTAACAATGAGTGGTGCTCATATGATTATCAGGGAGAACATAAATTGTAACCAAGGAGAATACACTCCTAACTCATATGTATGGTTATGGCTTGAACCTCAGTCAGTGTCGGGGTAAATTTGACAGTGTTTTCAGTCTGCAGTAGATTTTCTCGACTGCTTGTACTCATGAGTTGCATTCATGATTGTGTCGCTAGATCTGAAGTTAGACTGACAATGTTTTAAGATATTTATTGAATGAGCAATCGATAGAGAAACATACTGAAATCATCTATAGTGGATGAAGGAATTATGGCATATGGAGATTGGTTTTGGTTTATTCATTCCACTCTCTCTTACGGCCCATGGATACTGAAGATTACTTTCGGTGGTGACAAATGTAGCAATCCAGCTCCCTTTTGCTTGACTACAGTTGCCAATGTCTACATAAATTCAATTCAACTATAAAGATGTCTAATTCTTGCGTTATTTCAATGTAATTATTATTTTAATCTATTTGTGTCCAATTAGTTCTAGTATAGTTTGATTGGTTATTGCTACTCTACATGATGACTAATTTATATACAGATTTGCGTATTGAGAACAAATGGTCTACAGTCTGTGTCATCCCTTTATAGTAAGCTTCAGAGAATGTCTGGTCTTCTCCTGAATTAGTTGCTTGAAGGGACAGATACTACTTCTCTACGTAACAGGTTTCAAGAATTGATGACTCTGTGTGAAATTTATTCTTACTTTCTGCGACCGAGCGAGAAGTCTTTGATCCACTTTAAAAGAGGTCCAGTAATCCCAGATTTTCTAGCTTTAAGAGTACTCTATAATTCAGCACCTTACTAAATACTTTGCTGAAGTCCATGAAGACAAAATCCACTGGTTATCTATCATACACAGTCTCTGACATTCGCTCTTGAGCTGTAAATAGGATTTTTGTCTAAGATAACTGTTTCCCGGTTCTCACTAATGTCATTATAACATTTCTAATAATCCTTTCCAGTATTGTAACTACGACACTGATAAGACTGACAGGTCTGTAGTCTGATGGAGCGTGTCTTGATCCCGTTTTTTATATTAGAGAGATAATTACGTCATTAAAGTCCATAGTTAGCTCACCTTGACCAAGTGACATAGTGAATTCCGTAATCAGTGTTTTAGCAATTTATTGTGCGACTTTTTTCAAGATCTTAGGGTGTAATTTGTTCTGTTCTATTGATTTTTCCGTTTCTAAAGCGCCCAAAACTTTTAGTAAGTCGTCTCGACCAAAGTTCACAGAGAGCTGCTGATTTTCCAACTTTTTATTAGGGTCCATTTCTTCATCTAGACGAAAATTTCAGGTGAAAACCGTGCGTAAATAGTCAGCTAAGACCTCTTCTTTGTCCTGGTTTTCCTCAATCGTTTGAAATGTCTTCCGATTCGTAATTAGGTTGGGAATTCAATGCTGCGTTTTTTCCTGCAACTTACGTACAACAACAGTCTGTTCTACTGCTTGATTTTAGACTGCGAAAACTGCTCCTCATATTTTTGATGGGCTTCCCGGTGTGTGGTTATACATTTATTTCGGACCAACCTGCGGCGTTTCATCGTGTATCTTGATAAGAACCTCCCATCATTCCTACTTTTATCTTAGTAAACACCATATATGCATCTTTATCCAGAAATGACCGTAAGTTTTCTTTTGGATTATCTGCGGTATAAATGGTTGAGTCAGTTGTTTGATTCTACTAATGTGACTGAGATGATTTTCCACTTTTCAGTTGAAGCTGCAGTGTTGATCGCTTTGATGCCTGCTTTCCATGAGTTAGAACAAGGCGGCATAACTCATAGACAGGCTATGTCATCTACGAATTTGAGTAAGAAAACCACATGATCACTTCTACCGATAAATAGGAGGAACTTTATCTGAATGATATTGTAGCGTGGCGTCGAGTCGCGGTTGACTATGAACACCGCTACCAAAAAACACGTGCCAAGTTAATCAGAAGGCGTAGGTTGAACGTAACCAAATAAATCCATAAAATCCACGAGAAGCCAAATATCAGAAGACAGTTATTGGACCAAATCGAGATATATTCCCTGGCGATCTCGTGGTATCGAAAAGATACCGAGATCGTGCCAGGATACAAGCTTGGTTACAGAACGTAACCGAATTCGCGCGAAGACAAAATCAAAGTGTAAGAATAAGAATGGAAGCACAATATAGCTGTCATTAGCACAGTCAAACAAAAGCACATTAAAACAAGCACTGGTACAGTTGGTTATAATAATAATTGTTTTTATTAAACCAGTCGTGTTCTCGTGATAAATGTGAGTCACTATAATATCATTGCTGTGTGTAAAGACTAAGCTCAAGACTGACGGAGATTTTTGTAGATCATATGTCCTGAAATGTCTAATGTACTGGAATAAAACTAGGTCGATTGTGGCTTTTAAAAATTTGTGATCAGACGATGTTCTCGATGACCCTACTTCTAGGTTTCCCCAGTTTATAGAGAGTGCATTAAAGTTATCTACTATATTGCTTTTACGCCTATTTGACCAGGAATTGAGTTTGTTCAAGAGTAAGTCATCCACTACATATTCTGGACTGCGGTATATTACAACGTATTCAATGTCTTGCACTTTGCACTTCATCCTCCAGCGTTACGATTCACATGTTTGTGACTAGTGCACCACTGTCTCGACAGCTAGTATGGTTAAAGTGTTTTTCATGTACAGGATAGCTACCAAAATAACTTCAGTTTAGTCTGTCATCCCTACATAGTAAGAAACTAAGTAATTAGATTCCACTATCATAAAATCTTGACATTATAGGAAGTAACTAAAGACAAGGAAATCGACTAACCTACGAATAAGTAAGTTGCTCAAAAGGTCATTAATTAAAGTTTGAAGTGCACAAAGCATGTGACATGCTACAGACCAATATGAAAGATTGCTTGAACGGGTTTCAGATACATATCGATAAAGTGAGATGTCTCTCAATCAATTTCTACACAGAACTAATGCTTAGAATAAAACAGACTTTCAACGTAAATTTGAAACTGATGGATGGTATTTCCTAAACAATAATCTAGTGAAGATAACATGTTTGTTTAACAATAAGATAAGGATGTGCGAATGGAGAAATTAAAAAATTTTTGTTAGCAATTCAAAAAATCCCCAGGTTAGTACATGTAGTTCATTGTCTAAATATTCAAGGTAGATCAGTGATAGAATTATTAAAGCCATGATATGATCATTTGCGTTCATAATAAGCATAAGATTACAACTTAACAGATTTTAAATGTACTAATTTACTAAAAGCAATTTATATAGGCTAGCTTTTTTGAATTTGTTCAAATTCATTACTGCATGATTTTGATAAGTTTTTAAAATAATTAACGACCAAAACGCCCCATTTGCCACGTTTTATTAACCAGTGATAAATTAGGGGTTTTAGTTAATGTATGGGAAAGAGTGTTAGTGTAAATAGAAAATGTTAAAGGTAGAAGAGAAACAATTTTGGCCATTCGGTATTAAGACAAGCAATCAAACCCGCAATTCAAAGAGTAGTACTGCTTTCAGTTTTAAAAATCAACAATTACGAAGAAACAACAGATTTATCCATAACAGTTTATTCTTCACTTAGCTGGGAGATGGTTCAGTAAGTAAAATAAGGCAACTTAAGTTCTTTTTACATCTTTTATTCCTAAAATATAGTAAGTCATTTAACACCAGTGTCGAAAAACATCGAAATCAAATCAGTTTATACAGTTTATATTTGACATGGGATTTACGCTTCGAATGAATGGAAAGTGAATCATTATTATGTTGTGTCCATTGAATCAGTCCCTGTTCACTTTTCCTTGCCTAGTTTTGTTTGGTTGATGTCATAAATCATTGAGATTAACTTTCACTTAATTAGTAATTACAATAGAACATACGTAATTACAATACAATGAACATGATTCCAATCCAGTAACTTTTTAAGTAATCTTGATTACCGTTAAAAAAGTCATCAGATTGCACAGAACAGTATTAAGGAAAAGATTATCTCTAGAAAAATAATTGTTTATTTTTCTCTATCTCAAATCTGCTAGTTTCTTCCACCGTGTGTTTTCACTTCTTCTTTACCAGCTTGGTACAGAATTGTAATAATAATATTATTTCAATGAATAAAAATAAATTAATTTGATCATACAAAATGATTGGTTAATTGTCATGATTAATAAAATTAACCAATGACATGAAAAGAAACTAAAACAAAAACATTCTTTTTTCAAAAAAATATATAAAAAAAAACAATTTTCATTCTATAAATCAACAGAACTTTTATCATAGTAACTTTTATCTTTAATTAATACCGCATAGTTACTTACAGTAGACAATTACAACATGAATAAATGTTCTACTTGGAATATTCTGTCTATAACACCATTAGTTATCTATTGTCTTTTAATTTCTTTAACAAATTCTTGGAAAATTGGTAATTCATTGAATAGCATTTTGTTTTTGTTTTTTATTTGTTTAGTTTTGTTAAAAATTTTAAATTAAAATTATGTTTAATTTTGTTTATGATAGGCACAACTAGAATACCAAATGATAATGAAGAGATTAGAATGGAATTAGAAAACACTCCTATAATGTATGAAGAAATAGAACCTAAATGGAAACAAAAACAAAAATGGATATCTCAGGTAAGATACTTGTTAAGTAATATTCATAGAATTCTTATGTATTTATACTAAACGTTATTACAGATTAAATTGTTTAAAGGATAATAACATTTATTATATAACTGTAATAGATAAGTTCTTAATGTTTGTTAGCAAAAATTCTTAAGAATGTAAGGTGTTTTTCAAAATTGATGTCCGAAATTTCATTATATTTTAGAAAGTGACTATCAGCTGGTTCTAAGACATACATTTTACTCTATTTGGAATTTATCAATTAGGTGTACTTAACACTTATTTTAATATTCCAACAAAAACTCCAATTCAGTACAGATAGGTTCGAATTTAAGATCACTGAATGTTGACCATTACTGTTTTTTTTTGAATGTTTAGAACCAAAACTTATGTATTGCACCATTTCAAAATGTTGTTTTAACATGCTTAATCTGTTTAATTCCGTTAGTGTTTATCAAGTTAAGGTACTCACGTTATATTCATAGAATAATTTTTACTTATGTGATTTTAAAAAATACATTTGTGTTTTATTTGGATTTGGAAATCATCATTTAAACTACTTACAATACTTCTTCATTTAATCATAGAAATTTCACTCAATTTTTATTCAAAAAATAAAATAAGATTAGAAAATTAGTTCACTGTTTAATAGGGTCGATGAAAAAAAAACTCATTATTTACTCTACTTTTGGCTAGACAATTATATGTTAAACAAAGTATAATTGTATACATCTAATTTCAAATCAGATTTTATCTACCTAAACGTGAAGTTTGATCATTCAATCAAGTAATTCACCATCTAAGTTTACATTTTTAATTTTTTGATTGAGATCATGAACTGATTGATGTTAGACCACGGTTGGAAACTTAATAATCTCCACAACCCTTATACTGGCACATTTTTAGTGTCAGATAATTGTCGACAGTCATATTTAGTAGTTAGTGCTTACTCTATATTTGGGTTATTAAAATAAGTGGAAATTATTGTCTCGGTCACTTCTAGGAAGTATATAGTACAAGTACAGAACATGCTATCGATTATTAAAAACAAATCATTTAAAACACTGAACTACATTTAACGGATCTTTCGTCAAAACGTTCTTTTGATTGGATATGAATCAATCAGATGGATGTGAAAACATAATGACTAATATAGGTTTGTGAAAAATGTTGAGTTTAAATTGGTATCATGGATTATTCAATGTTAGACCACCATTAAAAACCTGAGAGCAGTGGAAGGCCGTTCTGTCCTAGTATGGTACTCCTCACCAGCGCGTATCCACAATCCTGCACGTGGGACCCGAACCCAGGACCTTCGGTTTAGTGCGCGAACGTTTAATCTCTAAACCACTGAACTGAAATCCAACGGTGTTCATGTCTAATTTCAACCAATCCATGATATTCCTCCATTGTCCACCATTGTCTTCAGTGAGTAACTGTCTTACACTAGACACAGTTGAACTCTACTAGCCATAATGGTAAAAACTAACCAAATATAACTAACAGCTTTTGACCTGATCACTTATAATTCCATGCACACAAAATTTTTACACCTAAAGAAAGACCTAACTGTTATCATAGCAAATTCATTTCGATACTCATTAATCAAGTTCTCAAACTGTTGTATACTAGAACTAGTTTTCTTTATAAATGAATAACTACATTAAACAGAATGAATTAGTTTTACTTTAATATGAACTAGTTTTCTTTGCATACAAATTACATGTATTTGCTTACATAATAAACATTTAATTCAACACATATTTAATATTTCAATACCTTATTTTTATGTGTGTGTGTGTCTGATTACATACTGTTTGTACATAAAGTCAATATTGACTAAACGACTACTTTTATTACTATCATTATTAACCTTGTAATAATTATTACTTTAGGGCAAGTGAATAGACATCTAAGGACAATAACTAAACAGATTAAATTTATTATATATATGATTGTTGATAATAAAACAAAACATTATACAATTATATTGAAACTTTTAAAAGACCCTATTTATTTTTTTGTTATAAATGACAGTGAAATGACTTATCTATTCTATAATGGATCAAATTTAGAAAGATATAAAGATAATTAAACTAGTCATCTAAGCAAATAAACAAAATGATCCATAGAATAAATCTTTCATAGTTTTTATTATTATTTTTTTAGTTTTTAATTTTAATTTGACTAAATGAATAATACAGTAGTTTGTTTTTCACTAACAAAAAAAACTATTTCCAGCGGGGGGGGGTGAAAATTATAGTAATTTTAATAGTTAAATTTACCATGGAAAACCTGGAAGTATCGGACGATCCTGGATGCACACTGCTGAGAAATCTCACAATAGGAATAAGTAAATAAAGTTGTCTAGTGCTCTCGAGTTTTCTATGATGATCTAGTTTCAATTGACTAATGATCTCAACTATTAAAAAAATTATTTACTTACAAATTTGATTTTTTTTGTGTTTTTTTTTCTCGATTCATGATATTTACAAAAAGTAAATGACACAATTTCTTTTCTTTTGTTTGAATAAAATAAAGACCATTCTGTGATTGTATAATGTTTATACAATCATTATCACCTCCACAATGTTTTCTTTTTCTTTGTTTATGTTCTAATGATAGTTGAATGATTGTTTGTTATTATTCTATTCTTGAATAAATTATCAATTATTCTTGTTTTCTTTCAGTGCTTACGACTATTATCGACTTAAACTATAAAATTCTATATCAAATAAATATTGAATCATAAAATTATTTCCTGTCAATAAAAAGTGCTAAATACTACTGAATTCATACAATTTAACCAGCAAGCACTTTGAATTGTTGCAAGTAGTGAATATTTAAATTAATTTTTATTTTAATTACATAAAGCACTGTTTAATTAGACAAATAAATTTGACAGAAGGGGTTTGTGGAGATTTTTAGAAATTTTCACTGATTGAAATCATGAGTCAGTTGAAGCTAGACCACCATGGAAAACCTGAAAGCACTGGACGGCCGTTTCGTCCTAGTATGGGACTCCTCAGCAGTGCGCATCCACGATCCCACACCACGCAGGGCTCGAACCCAAGACCTACTAGCTTCGCGCGCGAGCACTTAACCATTAGACCACTGAGCCGGCATCCAACGCTGTTAATATCTAACTTCAACCAATCCACGAAGTTGCGTCACCATATAGCATTGTCTTCAGTGAGCTGATATCTCACAACAGACCTGGTTGTACTCCACTGGTAACGGCTTCCCATTAGAACTACAGGAGTATCTCTTGTAGTCAGTCACTAGTGAGCAGATCATTATTATCAGAAGGGGTTTGTGGAGATTTTTAGAAATTTTCACAGATTGAAATCATGAGTCCCGCGTGGTGCGGGATCGTGGATGCGCACTGCCGAGGAGTCCCATACTAGGACAAAACGGCTGTCCAGTGCTTCCAGGTTTTCAGTGGTGGTCTAGCTTCAATTGACTCATGATTTCAATCTGTGAAAATAAACTTGACTCAGCATTACTAATATAGAAATATGTTAGATTTATAGCTTTTAATACTGTTTCTTTTAAAATAAAAGTATGGTGTTTTAGTCAAAACGCAGATTAAGCCCAATACTATGAAGTATTATTATTATTCTGAAGAAGTTCAGACAAATTTGTTGGACGAAATATTGGAATTATTTTAAATTTCAATTCTGAGATTATTTCAAATATAATTTTCACGTATAATGACTTCTCTATAAACTGCGCCGAATTTTTATCAAAATATTGATGAATATTTGTAGAAATGTAGTTTTTAATTTGAAGAATACGATACCACAGAAAATATCACTTTATATACGGAAATTCGGATAATAAATTGTATAACTCGTTTATTTTCGTGCATAGGAATAATCATATTACTCAAATTATTATTTTTAAACTTGTTTAAATATTTGAGATTAGTCGATTACAAAACGCTTGAGTGAAAATAAATTACACTATTTTAAAGGTTAACATTTACACCACCAGTAAACATACTAGTTCCAGAAAAACTAAGTTCAAGGTGTAAAGTAGGATTAAAAAGCATTAAGCTAGTTTTACATTAAAATGTAGCCTTTGTAATTGTTAAAACATTGTAGAAATAATCTGTAATAATAGTCTCATTCAGATAATAATAACTGATATTCAGTATTGGTCATAAAACAACAGGAGCATAAAAGAAGTTCTTTATTCTAGACGCTTACAATTAATTCTCTAACAATAAGTGGATAGCATAAGTACTAAAAGAAGAATTCTTAACCCAGTAATCTTATTTAAGTAGGTTAATCTTAAGAAATATCTACTATACAATATTATATGGATACTAAATATAATATCAAATTATTATTCTATCATTTTTATTCTTATGTTTAGAATACAAATTCCGAAACCTGTCACTTTCCCTGTAAATCACTTTTTACTTCTTTATCAATTAAGAGTTTTCGTCAAAATAATGAGTTTTAATATTAGTCATTTATCTCTAACAAACCTACTGTCTTCATCATTTAATAGAGAATAAATATTATCATCCCCATGCACATAATATTAAATGGGTAACATAACGTTTAATAAAGTGTTAATAAAATATTTATACTTTGTAATTTTGAAATAATAAAGTATTATTAATCCCATAAGGTAGTTGGGTTTAATAGGATTAATAGAATGATTTGCAACAAGGTTGAAGGACATTCATTGTCGTGTAAGAATATATTACATTTGAGCATCTGCTGATTAGTCGTTGATTTTCAAATGATATACTTACGTAACAAAGTCTATATCTATCAGTTTTTTCAGTTATCAAGGTCTCAAGTGTGAAATATTTTGGTGATGGAAGGTTCGAATTTGTTTAAAATGATTTAACCAAGAGAGCTAAATAGATTTGAAAATGATGACTATCTGCTGATAAATGTAAAGTACAATATTTACCAAACAATTGTCAGTATTCTATAGTATTTTGCAAGCTGAATGTTATGAACACTATTTTGTAGCCGAGAACAGAGCAT